AAGATCTAGAGGATTCCTGAAATGCCTCTCTGTCTCCTGAGAATCTGTCCCAAACCACGTAAACCTCAAAGACAGCCTGGAATGGCATTTAGGGAGTCCATTTAGATACCTGGATCCTCTTCTTCCCAGGCCCTCCAGGTGTGTCTTGCAAGCCATGGATGCGGTCTTGCAGCTGATATGACCAGGGGCACGCACAGTCTGGAATCTTTAGCAGCTGAGTTACTGCAATTTGCACAAAAGGTAGTACCAATGCAGTAGATAGCCATCCAATCCTAGAGGCATGTGGCAATGACTCATGCAGATGAATCATTTAAAATCAAACCAGTGAATCGCTAGGGGATCAAGTTCTAAATTCAGGGAACATTATACACTGACCAAGCAAAGAATGCCAACTGAATTTCATGATTCTAGGAAAAGAATCTTGGAATTTTTTATTAGAAGAAAACATGGAGATCATCTTATTTAATATTATCATCTGTTGATGTTAAATGAAAGTCCAAGATCCAACAGTCTCTTAGATAAGGCAGGCAAACATTTAGGCCTTTGATTCTCAGCTCTGTTGTTTCACCTTGCCACTTGAACATACTGCTCACTCTTTGGAAAACCACCACTGGTGTTAGCACTTTGGTGACATGAGTGAATTGTGAATTCCCAGTACTGTTTTATGCAGCCAGACAAGCATTCTCCCTGCATTAAGAAAGCATTGGTTATAACATAAATAATACACAAGGCAACAGCCATAGCCAAATCTGCTCACTGAGAGTCTCCTTTCTGGTATGAAAATGATGAGTGTATTTTCCCTAAGAACCTTTGGCAACATGTACAAATAAAGCCACAAACACAGTGACAAACTGTGCTGGTTGGAGTCTAGCTGATGACATTTTTGTTATTGAAACAGGAAGTGAGTCAGCCTCAGCCACTGAGATCGTATATTTTATTCCGTTGTGTTGGCTCATTTGAAAAAAAATAACCCTGATCACAAGGCAACAATGTTTGTTTTCTAAATAACACATTTTCTTTGGAGAAAAATGTAAAACAGAGGTTAATGTTTTAAGATTTTAATTGATGCTTTCTATGAAGTAGAATTAATAGATCAATTAATAGATAACCATTAAAAAACTGCAAAATTTGTTTTCATACATATTAGAATAAAATGAGTGGTTTTTGATAAAAATAACAGCTTAATGTTTTTAAAGGGCATATATTCTCTTTTTTTTTTTTTAAAGAGAGAGTGAGAGAGGAGAGAGAGAAAGAGAGAAGAGAGAGAATTTTTGATATTTATTTTTTAGTTCTCGGCGGACACAACATCTTTGTTGGTATGTGGTGCTGAGGATCGAACCCGGGTCGCACGCATGCCAGACGAGCGCGCTACCGCTTGAGCCACATCCCCAGCCCTAAAGGGCATATATTCTCATACTTGAATTGAGTTATAAAAGTTTTACAACACTGGTATTAGTATTACTACTATTAACTGGAAGTTTGTCTTTGCTTAGGTGAACATTTTAACCCATCAAAATATACTGTGTTTGTTTTTTTTTTTAAATTTTACTATTTCAGAATTTTTTTTTCATTCTGAACAGAAATACTCAGAAGTTTATTATCTTTATCTAAGATTTTGCAACTCTACAGTCTAAATTGATAATCTTAAAAAAATATATTTCAGGACAAATGCCTCAAATATTTTAATTTCCATGCATAAAACTAAAATTTTATGCCTATTAAACACTGAGGATATAATTTCAGATTATGAGCACATTGAGAACAATGCTTCTTCCAACAAAATGTGCTTAAAATACATAGAAAAGGATTCTTTACATTCAATAATTAGACGTTGACTACCTCACCCTCCCAGACTTCAGATGATTCAAACAGAACAGCTTTAAGGTCTCTGTAGCTAGATGTGAGACATTTCTTGCCAATCATTGCTCGTCTCGTGAGATGAATCTCCACTTGATGCACCATTTATTTTGCAAGTGGTTTTCTTACTATTGGATGCTACTGTAAGAATCAAAACCCAGGGAGGTGGTAGTTGTGACCTCTTGTGCACACAGACCAGGGGGGGCTCAAGTCTGGGGCTGGGTCAGAATCAAACCCAAACCCACAAGACACTCTCCCTGCTGCATGTTCTTCACTGTAAATGTACCCACCTCTTTACTCTGGAATCTGGAATCAGAACTGCATGGGCTAAATTATCTACAGTATGCTCAGACTATGGGTTTTTTTCTTTTTTTTTTTTTTTCTATCCTTAAATCTCCAAATGAATAGTTTCCATCTGTAATTGTTGGTTTTATATTTTTAAATAGTGAACCAAGAAACATAATGTCTCATTATCTCTGAAATGATTCAAGCATTCACTGCTGCATGCAACTCTGTCGATAAAAGCACAATAAAGTCATTTTACTTTGGGGGGAGGGGTGGTGGTTAAAGAAAGTTCCTTTTTTTTCTTCTTTTTTCTTTCCTTTCTGCCAACTCTACATTGCCAGTTATCTGCTGTTTCCACACTCCACATAGATCTAATTGAGGTATTAAAAGAAAAAAAAAAGATACTCTAGATGTTATCCTGGATTGGCAGCTCCCAAAACACATGTGGCTTCAAGCCTTCATTACAGATCTGAAGCAAATTATTTCTATAAATGTGTGAAAATTTGATTTTCCTAAAAAATGTCTTGTGATGCATATGAGCTAAAATCCATTCAGGAAAACCAGAGTGCCTGACATTTCTTCTCCATTATTTTCCTTTAAAAATGAAGAGTCCTTTATAATTTTTTTTTTTAATGACAGATTTTATCCATTTGCTTTTTTAAAGTCCCATGTTTTCTTGTGCTCTGTCATGTAATATTTTACCTTATAGCTTTAAGAAAACAGTGATCTGTTCCACCATCTGGTGAGGGCTTTTCAACTCTGGAGAGTGACTTGTGGCTGACTTGTGATTTCTCACCACAGAAGTTGAAGTCATTGTGGTAGTGTGCTCATTTCATAGAGAGACAATAGCACCTTAACATTTTCACGCTACCATGACAACATGTTATTTTAAAGGAGTACTTTTTTGGGGGGGAGGGTCAGGTAGTTCTAGGACTTAACTCCTAATGAGATGCTGTATTTGAACAAGATAATCTTTTAAAGTAGTGCTATAAATAGCGCATCCACAGGAGAATTTTCTTTCAATTGCACAGCATCTAAACACAGGTAATTCTAGCCAAATATTTGTTAGCTGTTCAGTTCCGAAAATTAATCATTAAAAACACTCATGCTATGTGGCATGTTTTTATAAATTGTTAAATACAATGATACAACTTTTGTAGGAAAAGTATCTAAAGATATTAATTCATTCTGTAATTTGCCTTAAATCAGCTACAAACTCTAACATCCCTTAAACTAGATGGCCACAATAGCTAGGAGACCCTGGAGAGAGAGAGGAAGAGAGAGAGAGAGAGAGAGAGAGAGAGAGAGAGAGAGAGAGAGAGAGAGAGAGTTAGTTTGTGCATGCCTGCACACATGTGTGCATGAATATATCTGTGTCTCCACTCCCAAGACTATCTCATGGAGTGGGGAAACCCAAGCAAACAAAGAAATCAATGAGGACAATCTGTATTTGAGCCAAAGTAGATTGAACGAGTGCTGGTTCAAAAGGAGGAGCTGGGTGGAAATGCAGTCACTGCAGACCTGCTAGGATCAGCGATCAGATAACTGTTTTCACTGGACCAAGAAGGCAACTGCTGTTGAGAGGGACACTTCAGTACAATCCAATGGTGTGAAGCTGTTTCAATGACAACAAGTGGCCTGGTGTAGCTACCAATCAGAGATGGAAATGCAGAAAAGAAAACAGAGCTAAAAGCAGTGCCCATCCTTCAAGAATGACTCTTTGCTCCCATGCCTCCCAGGCCATTGCTGCCACTTAGCACCAACAGAAGAAAAGCAAGTCTACAGGGTCTTCCAGTGAAGTAAGTGACATTTGCCACTGTGTTGTGGAGAGAGAGCATATATACTAGTACAGCTTCTATTATGAGTAAAGTCATACATTATCTCAATCCTCAAGCAATCCTATAGGTAAGCAAGTTTTGCCAGACATTTAGAGGGATTAGGGAATGTGTCTGAAGTCAGACAGCTAACCAGAGATTAGCTCCAAACCAAGTATATTATTTTGATGGCATCAAATGACATTAAATAACACTAAATTATTGTCCTATGTTTGAACTTCACATGCAGAAGAATAAGTCATTAAGTGATGGATCCCAGGCCACATTGACCAACTTCTGAGTTCTTTCACAATAAATAGGAGATGGCAGAATCGTCCAGCCCATTCTTATAAAGCTCTTTCCAGGGAGTGATGTCTGTATCTCTCATCTCAATGAATTTTCCTTGGAGCCTATTATACACATCCTGGAAAGATGATGGAGACAGTTCCCAATCAGGTTAAACCTACAAGAACTCAAACTTCACCCTGGATTTGGGAATGCTAGTATGGACCTTTGGGATGGCCTGAGCTTTTTTGAGACATAGAGCTGAGAATGGCAAGGGTTTCCTTGTTTGTGTCCCATGACATTGAGAGAAGAGCGGGGTCATTCAGTAGAAGAGAAGAACCCAAGTACACACTTCAACAATGTGTACAGAGTCCAGCTCGTGCTTGGTCCACACTCTGGAACTTTGGCACAAAAAAACAAATCTTGGTGAATGTTCCAAGCAAAAGATCCCAGCTGATCTGGAAACCCTGATCTTCCAAAAGAGACCCCAAGTACAATGGCCTGGTCTAGGCTTTTTTTTTTTTTTTTCCACATCAACAAAACTCTAAAATGGAGCTGTGTTCTTTTACTAGCTATAGAATCAAAACCCTCAAGAGTTTCAGGGACTTTTGAACTGGTCTGAAATGCCCTGGGCAGTGGTTGACCAAGTCTTACATCAGCACAAATACTCATACAACAGATGGAAACAGAGACTCTTCCCATGCACACACTTGCTATAGATTTAAAGGACTTATTTCTCCCAACAAGTTAAGTGCATACCTTCATGACCTCCTGGAGGCAGATATTGGAGGTTGCCCATGAGCAAAAGTTGTCTAATAGAGACTTGCAATCTGCACATGAAGACATCCTAAATGGATATAAAATTCATAAATATATTTTAAAATTAAGGGTAAAAGAGGAACTTTTATCACTTGATGACTACATCCTGTACACACTTCCTTCCAGATAACACTGTTTCACTTTTATCAAGCACATTCTTCTTCTATTAAAAATACCATCTCCTCTAAGAGGCCTCCCGTACTGTCCTGTCTAAGCACTGCCAAGGCCTCCTGCTCATCATTTCAACCCTATTCCCTCCATGCAATTTTTCTTCACCCGAGATATTGGTTTACCTGTTCCTTATTGTCCCCCACAATGAGAACCTGAGCTATGTATGAGGAGGGACTCTCTTTAAGAGTCACTATTGTTTCCCAAACACAAAATTCAATACTCAACATATAATAAAAATGTGCTTTTCTTGAAACACTTCAGATGATGTTGCATGAGAGAAGTGGATGTATTTACTGGTGAAAACGTGTTACCAGAGAGATGCTAGAGATTTCTGACTCATCTGAATGTGCTAATATTTCTTGGAAGTGAGAAAGTTGCAACGAAGGAGATAAGATCTTTTGAATTGAGCTCAATCAAACATCTATTCAGAAGGAGAATCTGGTTTTCAGAGAAAAGCATCAAAGATATGTGGGCCTTGTACACAACTGATTCTTGACAAGGTCCCCCTCTGCTAAAAGAAAGCTCATTTTAGATTCCTCCTAAAATACCAACTTGAAGTTTTCCTACTCCTTTCATTCTTCCTTTCACACTCTGTTTCATTCTCTTTTTTTTTACCCCTTTTTGATCTTATCTTTTTCATTTTAGGCTTATCAGTCATTGTAAAACCTAGTGCCCAAAAAGAGAAAAAAAAATAGATGTCTATCATTTTCTCAATAATAAAAAAAAAATAATAAACACATATTTTATTGGATCATTTTGTGGGCTATTAAACTTATATTTTAAGTGAAATTCATTGACTATGGTTTAATTTAAAAGACCATGTATGATTTTTCTCCCCTTCTCTAGAGACCCCATTAAAATTAAAATATGCCATTGCAAGAAGGAATAAATAACAGGGACTAAATAGGGGGTCACTAACACATACCAGTTTTCAATATGGCTCCAATAAATCTCATCCCATATCTATTTCCTCCCACATCCAGCAAAGTTCAGGCATTTATATTCCAGCAAAACACTCTCCCAAAATGCTCTTTATGAAGAAACTAGAAATAATATTTGAAACAATGCCTGACATTGGGAAAATATTCAGCCCATAGCCAGTTCTCTGCTCTCTTACCATAATGATTTGCCCCTTATTGAGTCCTGTATAGAATTCCTACCAAGAAGACATCTGTCTGGGAAAAACCTAGGGAAATTATAGATACCCCAGTATCATCAGGTATGGGACAGTCATAAATTTGGAAAATTAACTAGAAAAGTCAAGTGAACTATAAAAACAGAATCTTGATCCCAATGGAGCAATATCTTCAATATTCCAAGGGAAATTCACACCAAAAGGTTCATGTGAAGTGAAATTATTAATCAATCATATAAGATATTTAAAGAAAATGTAGCTGCTACAGACAAAAAGGGGCCCTTCCACAGGTTCCTGTGGAAGTTAATACAGGGTATACTCCAAAAAAATCTAAGGAATGAACCTAGTAAACAAGAAAAGTGAAATCAGGGAATAGAGAGGATAGTCCAAGGTCAACTTTGATGTATCATAATTAAGACAAGAATGAACTGGATATTTGTAGTCTAGAAGGTCTCCCTGTTTAATAGTTCAATAGTTCTTTTTTTTTTTTTCACTTCAATTTCTTCACCATGTAATAAAAGTAAAAACTTTTGGCATTTCTGAGTTGGCAAGTCTTTTACCTGAGGATGTACTTGGGACCACAATTTACACTTTGCCTTCCTAAGTGCAAAAATTTAGGATGTAAAATAAAACTAACTGTGACTTATTTTTTAAATATCTACATGGGCACAGAGAAGCAAATTATTATTCTATTAAAAATCAATTTTATCCCAACAGAGTAAAATTAGGCAAAAATTTCAACTTTCATTTTAAATTTATAGATGTATTTGAAATTTATGCCTGTAACCACTCATTGATTTATTCATCCAAGTACTTATTGAGCAGCTGGGATAGTCTAGGCATCACACTAAACATTGATCATGAGAAAAGCATAGGTACATTGTCCTGTACAGGTTGTACACCAGTAACTAAAGCTAGTGATGCTAATAGCACAAGTATAGTTTATGTTTATACTATGGACATAGAACATAGGAAGAAAGTTAATTTTCTTCTATAAAGAACTATTACATTTTGCAGAACCTTAATACCCAAAGACCATTTATCCTATTTGCTCCTATAAAATGTAAATTGCTTAGAAAACTTTTTAGCAATTACTTTTTAAAAGATGTCATTTGTAGCTCATTTTTATTTAGAACCTGATAGATCAGATTGAGATATAAATGTATTCACCAGCAAATATAATTGCTCTTAATTTAATTTTATAAGGGCAGATTTTAATCTTCCTTGCAACTGCTAATCTCCAATTCTTTTACTAAATGCATTTTTTTATTCTTTGCTTTTGTTTTGTTTTTTGGTTTTCTTCTTGAACAATTTAATACTCAATGACAGGCTTTGGACGTATACCAAATATGTCAATCATGAAATCTCTGGCAATATTCCCCCTCCCCTCCCCTTTTTTTTTTTTTTTTGCCTTCTTATGAACTCTGGTTCTGAATCTTAATTTCTAGAAGCTGATTATAGCATAGCAGGCAGCATCACTGCCTACAAAAGCTTTTCTTAGTATGAGTGCCTGCTGTCACTTGCAAAGGAAAAAAGGACGTCTGAGGACTCCTGACTATTTCCTAGAACAAACAAGCTAAGACGGAAAATAAGCATCTACAAACAGCTATAATGCAAGACATTAAGATGCCTCTTGACAGGCCAAGTTCACAATGCAAGCACCAATTCACAAGAAGTTAATTGAGTTACATTTCTTTTTTTAATTCTTTTTATTTTTTAAAATATTATTTTTTTTTAGGTGTAGATGCACACAACACAATGTCTTTAATTTTTATGTGGTGCTGAGTAACGAACCCGGGTCCCACCTGTGCTAGGTGAGCGCTCTACTGCTGAGCCACAATCCCAGCCCCAAGTTACATTTCTGACTCAGGCCATAAACTCTTTTCACCTTTCCATGCCCCATAGTAGGCACTGGGATGTGGAGATGGAAGTCAGCCTATTAGCTAAGAACTTCACAGACTTTGGGGAAGACAAAAGCATAGTCATCAACAATGGTGTCAGGTTCTCCAGCCATGGGAGATCAGCCACAGGGTTCACAACTATGGTATAGGCAATGAGTGCAGAAAGGGAAGGGCAGAAAGTGCACAGAGTGAGGTGAACAGAGATGGGTACTGGAGAAGCACAAAGCACATGCAATGGGTTAGGGAACAGGTGCATAGGGCTCTCAGGTAATTCAACAGCAGGCACACCATGGCTAAGTCAGGAAGGGCAAGAGAAATCGGTAAGTTGCAAAAGTGTGACAGCTCCAGGAGAGGGTCAGGCGGCTGTTTGTGTCAAGGAAGCCTCTGCTCTTTGGGCAACCAAGCCTGAGGGTACAGCAAAGCAAGAAAGGTACATCTACAAGTCTTTGGCTTATTATGGCCTCCTACATGCTGCCCAGACCAGACATGGTGACCTCATGTCCCTATCACCAAGTCCTGATGGCTTTCCCCAGAAGCAAGCCTGCAATCTTTCCTCAGTATTCCCACTACTACTATCAATGGTGTGTGGCCATGCCTGTAGGTTCTGGCTCAGATAGTCCAGGTCAAATCCCATCTGTCTTATCCCTCCCAGCCTGCACAACCCTGATGGCAGCTCCCAGAGCACCCTCTTCTATCTCCCCAGAGGTGCCACCAGGTTCTGAGGTCCACAGCCAAGTGGCCTTAGGCAAGTTAGCTCCCTGCTCTCCACTATAGTTTTCCGATTTATAAAATGGAGATAAAGATATCCTGACCTCAGAGGATTGTACTGTCCAACACCTACTAAATTTTGCCTTTCATTATTACTGCTTGATGATTTTGAGCAAGTAAAATGACCTTCTGGGTCTCAGTTTTCTTGTTCCTTAACATAGAAGTAGCAGAGTAACCATTAGGTTAAATTAGATAATCTGTGTCAAACACTAAGTAAGCATAGTAACTAGGAAATGATATCCAAACTCTGTTTTGATTCAGTCTATTTGATAACAGTTGCTTAATATTTCTTGGCATTTTCTACATCCTTATCTTTAGTCCACAGGATCTTGCAACATGCAGTCCTATTACCATACTATTAACAATATATTATAGGGGTTAACTTATATATTTTGTATTGATTGTGGCTAACAAAAAATTGACCAAAGGAGATCCATGTCAAATCCCTGGAGCCTATGGATATGATATGATCTGGAAGACAGCTCTTTGCAAATGTAATTCAATTAAGGATCTTGAGATGTGCTCATCCTGCATTATCCAGGTGGGTCCTAAATCCAATCACTAGTGTTCTGATTCAAGGAGAGGGAGATTTGACATTGACAGAAGAGGCAATGCAGTGTGATCACAGAGGAGAGATTAAAGTGATGCTGCCACAAGCAGCCAGAGGAGGCAAGGAATGGATTCTTACCTTCAGTCTCCAGAGGTAATATGCTCTGTGCATGCTGTGGCCAGGACATCTGGTCTCCAGACTCTGAGAGAATAAATTTCAGTTATTTAAAGCCACTTAGTTTGTGGCATTTGTTACAGCAGCCACAAAGAAAATAATACACTATATACAAATATTAATTTTATATTTCGGCTCATTAGATGTTTCAATATAAATAGAACATAACTATACATTAAGACAGAGTTTAAAGTAAGCTAAAAAAAAAAACCCACAGGCTGTAAGAGTCAAGGATAGGAATCAAAGATATCTCAGACACAATCTTAATTTTGACTCCATTAATTGTAAGGTGAGAGACTTCTTGAGTATTCTTTTCTCTCTGTGTCTCTTTCTTTCACCTTCAATTCTGATCTGTAAAGCAGAGCAATCCATAGGAACCACTGGTGGTGCTAGGAGCAATACTTCAGCTAACATTGAAAAGTGCCTGGGGAGTGGTTCAGGGGAGAAGACATTGTCAGCAGTTGACATTGTTATTGACCCATCTTATAGCATAGGAAACTGAGGCTAATAGATACCAGGTGACTTGTCCAAGCTCACACAACTATTAGGTTTCAGAATTAGGAGCCAGATCTGATAATGTACAACACCTATATTTCCTGTTCTAGCCTATGCCCCACCCAGTGTTTTACTAAAACATTTTCAAATATGCAGAGAAGTTTAAAGTGTTTGCAATCACTCCCATTTATCACCCAGATTCTACAATTATCATTTTAGTGGATTTGCCTCAAGGCAATGTCTATCTATGTATACAGATCATTTCCCATCCACCCATCCATTCATTTGTAGCTCCTTCCCCCTTCTTCCTTCTTCTTCCTCTTTTTCTCAGTCTCAAACTGCATACCTTGGAATACTTCCCCTCTAACATGGCAGCTTGCACATCATTAACTACAGTTTGATATTTGCTTATGGTTTCTCTGTGTCTCTTGATGGGGTTGGATTTGCAGAAAGTTAAATGTGCAGCCTTAAGTATGCTAGTCAATTGGTTTAGACAAATTTAATTGGCTATGTGACCTAAACCTCTATCCAGCCATGGAAATTGCCAACCACTTGGGGAACTCCCTAATGCTCCTTCCAAGTCACATCTCTAGTCATTCCCACCACAAGCAACTGGCATGCTAGTTATTTCACTAAACATCAGTTGTAAGTGTTCTAGAGCTAAAGCTATTTGAATTTTGTTGTGGATATATTTATTTATTTACTTGCTTATTTTTGGTAACAGGGATTGAACCCAGAGGTGCTTAACCACTGAGCCACATCCCAGCCCTTTTTATATTATTTTTTATTTAGAGACAGTGTCTCCCTAAGTTGCATAGGTCCTTGCTAAATTGCTAAGGCTGGCTTTGAACTAGTAATCCTCCTACCTCAGCCTCCTGAGCCCCTGAGATTACAAGAATGAGCCACTGAGCCTGACTGCTGCAGAAATTCTTGTAGACAAAGCTTCTTCCCTCAGTCTGATGTTTCTGAGACCAACTCAAGATGGCTGCATGCTCTTTCTGTGGTGAGCAGCATCATATTCCATAATACTAAAACTCTCACTGATGGACTCCTGAGCAGGGTCCAGCTTTTGATGGGTATAGATAAAGTGGTAGGAGACATCATTTACAATTATCTTGGTAAACATAATCTTTCAGTTCTTTTGGTTAAATGTCTAGAAGAGTGAAGACCTGAGCCAGAGGATAGCTTTATATTTAGTCTTATTAAAAATGGCCAGACCTTCACAAAGGGAAGGTTTTGTCTTCTCGTTAATAAAGAGGACAGGAAAGTTTTTTTGTCACCCATGACACATCTTCATCAGCTCTTGGTGTTGTTAATCTTCTTACTTTTTAGAAAAAACAGTGGATTTTACTTAATTTTTCCTTGATTATGAATAATGTGCACATTTTTAATGTGCTTACTAGCCATTTAAATTTTATAAAATATATGTTGACATTCTTGGCTTATTTTTTGTTTTTTAACATCTATTTTTTTATTTTTTTAAATTTAGTATTGATGTGTATGGGTAATTTTTATATCCCAGATACTACTTTAATTCTAGATGTACAATTTGGAATATGTTCTCTTAATACTACCTGTTTATACATTTTCTTAGTATTACATTTTGATGAAGTTTTAATTTATGATAAAATCTAAATTAATTAGGATTTTTTTCCTTGAAGGGATTGCCTTCTATTTCCCATCCAAGAATCCTTTGCTTACATCCCAAATTATGATATTCTTTCCCTAAGTTTTTCTTCAGGAAGTTATGGGGTGTTTTTTTTTTTTTTGTTTTTCCATTTACTCTACAATCTGTCTCTAATCAATTCTGAATATTGTGTGAAGTAAGACTGTTTCTCCTTCCTTCCTCCCTCCTTCCCTCACTCCTTTTCTTTCTTATTTCATTTTTACTCCATATACATACATCAAAGAGTTCAAGCCTCATTTCTTGAAGACTTTCCTTTCCCTAATGGATTTATGGAACTTCACTTCTGATGAATGAAGAAAGTCTAAAATACAGTTGCTCCCAACCTGATAACAACAAAATCCCAGGTAATCTACAAATTCCTAATTTTCTTTAGCTTATTTAAGAAAGGAGGCCAAAAGTCTCTGTGTATACCAAATCTTAAAGACAGCCAAGAAACTTTGAGAAGAAAGGGTGCTACATGCTATTTTGCCTTTGGCAAAGCAGGAGAAGGCAGTCTCCACAGAAGAAAACACTAATATTGTAATAATTTACTGATGGGTACATGTGGGTACCAAGACTATTTGGAATAAGTAGAATTCCATCCTCACATGCAAGTTCTTCTCCACAGGCCTCCACAAGGTGCTCATGAGAAAATCAGTATGCAGTACAGACTGCACAAACCCCACCAGCATCACCAGGTCTGCTCTCAAAGGAAACAAAAGCCCCTCATTGCAGAGGGAGAGGCAGGATGTCCTCGTAAACTCAAATTCTGTATGCCAGGAAGCCTTACTTTTCTCTTGACAAGGAAACTCCCTCCCATCTACAACTCCTTCTCCAACAAATGCAATTAAGTTTGGATGCTCTGGGGGAAGAGGCAGATAATCTCAGAAAGACCCAGCCCCAAAGCCCAAAGGTGCAGTGTAGGCCTAAAGTCAGAACTTGGAACATCCATACTGTCATTAGGAGCCAACCCCCTTCCCTGCCCCCACCAGGACTCCAGGATAGCACAATGTGAGCAGGAACAGGAATACTGACAACAAAGGTAGGGACCCTAATGGTGGCCCAGGTAGCCCCTGCAAGAACCTGTTGGGAAGAAGTCAGTGGAGAAGTCTCTTCTTACTATTATATTTTTAGAGAAAGGCTTCTAGAGCAAAGATCTTAGACATGCATGAAATCTCCCCTAACAATGCCCAGAACCATCACCATCATTGTACTTAGCACACTGCATATGTTGATTAAGTTAAAAACTATCCCTAAGAGCTGGGCGTGGTAGTACATACAGGTAATCCCAATGACTGTGGCACCTGAGGCAAAAGGATCACACATTTAATGCCAGCTTCAGCAATTTAGGGAGACTTTGTCTTAAAGTTAAAAAATAAATAAAAATGATTGGATTGATATTGGCCAAATTATGTTGTTATATGTGTGCATGTGCAAATATGTAATGACAAATCCCACCATCATGTACAACTATAAGGCACCAATAAAAAAAAAAATGTGAGGGGGGGAAAGACTGGGAATGTTTGATTCCCATTAAAACAAAAAAAAGTCAGTAAGGTATTTTCCTTTGTTAGCTATTCTCTGCACTGTTATTTCAAAGAATGAATCTTGACCTGAAATATAATGTAGTAATTTTTTTCCTAGTTTAAAAAAAAAAAAAAGGCTGTATGGAGGGATGACAACTTACACTGTTTGCACAGAACTACAAGCAACTAGGATAGCAAATAAACATTTTACACCTATATATCTCTCATGCAATTAATCAAAATATTTTCTTAAAATTATATTTTATACAACTAAATTAAACAAATGGAATGAAGGGTTAATTAATCAATTTGCTCTAGGATAAACAACATACTGATGATGACACCAGAAACAAACAAAATTGACTTCTTGACCAACAATGGGAGCATTCTCTACCAACCTAATTAGGAGGCATTACTGGAATTATCCTCAGAACAGACTTTTAAGGGTCCTCTTAAAAGCCCCTTTTGAATAATCTAGAAGAGGGAGATCAAAAGCACTCCAAACCAAGATACCATCCAATAATCTTTAGGGTTAAAATGCAAACTTAGTTTAAACAACAGATTGTAAACAACACACAACTCCTGATGTGTGGAAGAAAGTGCAGGATGAGGTGGAGGTGAAGGTGCCAGGCAATTGCACAAGATTCAGGCAGCAGACCCCTTATGGCCCAGGAATGTGAAAAGGAGCCTGGGGCCATCACACAGAACAGGTCCTGACTCCATGGAGACAGTGGTAGTGGTGCAGTTGTGGGCAGGCGGGTAGACAGAAGAGGCGAGCAGATGAGGGTGAGTTAAAGGAATGCTTGCCCCCAGTTGGAATTTATTACTTTCTCTCCAGGACAGGGGAGGGGTTGTGTGGCAGGAGCAAGAATCTTCAGTCTTTGGAAAAGAGAGGAAAAAATAGCTCTTGTGGAAATACTGGACAACTCTAGGCCTAACTTTGCCTCTAATTTGCTCTGTGACCTGCAAAGTTGACTTCATTTTACTGTTTCATTTGTTTGGGGAAGGGATTATAAAGTAAACACCAAGAGCAAACTCAGAAACTGATAAATGTTGAATAAGTGAATATTGTTTTCAGTTTATCGACTACTATCTGCCACAGACTAGGTATTTTATTTTATTTTTTTTAATATATTTTTTTAAGAGAGAATGAGAGAGAGAGAGAGAGAGAGAGAGAGAGAGAGAATTTTTTTTTAATATTTATTTTTTAGTTTTCAACGGACACAACATCTTTGTTTGTATGTGATGCTGAGGATTGAACCCGGGCCGCAGGCATGCCAGGCCAGCGCTACCGCTTGAGCCACATCCCCAGCCCCCAGACTAGGTATTTTAATACATTCTCTTCTAATTATATCAAACTGAAAACAACAACAACAACAACAAAAAAAAAAAAACTACCATTTAAAAAATTTTTCCTATTTAAATAATGTGGCCAAAGTCTCACATGCTATATGGATAGCTAGAGTATAAAGTTTATCTTTTTATTCCAGAACATATTTTCTCCTCTGAATGAATCTGGCTCCTGACTCTTTGTTGCTCTTTTGAACAACTAGACATAACTAGCATCCTTCAGCTCTCATGTGCATTCTTTTTCACATACAAAACGAATGATATTTTCCCATCCAAGAGCTACCTGCTTAGTATTAGTGGAAATGCCTTTCTTTTAAGCTATGACCTCCTGTCTCCTCCCCCAACCATTACAGGGACTTTTGCCTATTTTGTATATGTATATATACTGATATGTGGCCATGTAACAGGATATGAATAATGTGTTCCCAATGGCTAATGAGTGCACCAGGAAGTCAAAGAATTCATTCTATTTGAAATCCGGCCTATGTGCTCCATTTTTACATTTTTAATTTTTTTCCTAAAAATTAGATTTTGATTGCATATGTATTACCTCCAATTAGGTACACTCTTATAAAAAAATAAACTATACCATCTTCTAGGTGACAGGAAGTATATGTAAAAGACAAGCACAATTTTACATTCTATAGGAATGTATACAAAGACACTTATTAAAACAATAACTCCTGTCCACAAGCTAAGTTTGGACAATGTTACTATAATACTTTAAAGGACTCCCAGAGAGCCTTGACTAACACAGGACACTGACCCTCTTAAGGTTTCCCTGACTTGGTCAACATCTCTTCCCTTCACTTTTCATGAGTTCTACCTTGTCTGGTGTCATTCAAGATTTGACCTGATTCTTGCTTCCTTTGGTAATACAAGGGCCAAGGTTACCAGCTTGCTGATAATGACAGAGAAAACCAGAGCCCAGAATAACAATTTACCAAAGGCTACGAGTTGCTGGTTACTGAAAGGTTGGCTCAATTTGTGGACTGTTTAAAGAAAATCCATTTCCATTTTTCCTTCTTGGACATGGACTAGGTACATGTCCCTTTGTTGCTAGGATAAATATGATGGACACAGGTCATCTTCTTCACAGATCATATGTAACAGGTACAATAAAATAATAATTTTACAGAACTTTGATTCACAAAGGTCCCTGACTAGAACCTTATGTGCTCATAATCCTGCCATGAGTCTGCTCTAATCTTCTAAAATTAAATAAAGTCCTCTAAAATTATCATATATATTTTAAAATGTTTAAAAAATAGTGTCCACTAAACACTACTTTTTAAATGAAAACTATAAAAGTAGTCACAACTGTTTTTCATTTTGAATTTTTGAATTTCACTGAGTTGAAATTTCATTTTGAAATGTCCATCCTTCATGTTTTGGGGACTGTTCTTGAAAATGAATATTAAATTTCAGGGGACAATATATACATATTTTTAAAAGTCAGAAAGAAAGAAAAGAAAAAGAAACCACATTGAAAGTCTCAACTTTACCGAATTATTTACACATTCATGGGAAACCCTCCTTGTTAAGCTTGGTGAGGAGGGTGCCTTCCACAAGATAAACAAACTTCTCCCAATTAGAAGCAGACGACAGTCTTTTCTTAGAATCTGAGTTATTCCACAAGTACCAAGAAAAACAACTTACTGATCCCTGGTTTTCAAACTTTAACTAGCAACAGAATATTGTGGGGAGCTTGTTAAAAATCCGTAGTTTGGGGGTGGAACCTTAAAAATTATACTTCTAACATATTTAGAGGCAAAATTTGGTTCACAGAATTTCAGACTTTCCTTGCCTTTCCCGCAGGCCAGGCAAGTACTATACCTCCGGGTACTCAGGGGTGTCCCCTAAGCTTGAGCATGAGAGCAGACAAAATAGGAACCCAGGGGATGCGGTTCCACGGAACCCTTGTCCCAGATCCCAGGGTAAGGGGGCTCTATGCGCCCAAGGTCCCATCTGCCCTGCCCTACCGTCCGACCCCTCACCACACCTGTAGGGCCCGGGCCCACTGGCCTGTGTGTCCCTCCCACGGGTCATGCCGAAGGATGGAGGGGACAGAGGAGGACAGAGAGGGAAGAAGGGGGGCAGAGGAAGACTGGATGGCCCCGAGAACACAAGGAACGCCACAGCCCTGAGTACCGAGGGGATCAGTGGGATGGAGAAGGACAAGGCGGCGGGAAGTAGGGGACCGGGCAGCTGGCCGAAAGCGGCGTGACTGCAGGGGTACTTTGCCGGAACAGGGACTCGCGCGGTGGCAGGTCCTAGTCGGGTGACCCGGACCGTAGGACTCGGCCGGGCGACCGAACTGGTGACGCTGGCCGGCCGGGTTCCCCGGCCCGGCCGCCCTAGCCCCGGTTGCGGGACTGCAGCGCTCTGCCGCGCACCTCCCAGCGCCGACTCCTTCGGCGCGAGGCGGCCCGCGCCTTATATAGCCTGCTAAAAATAGCCTGCGAGGCCCCTTTCCAATCAGAGCGGGCAGAGTTCGAATTGAGCCAATGGAGAGGGCTGTGATGGAGAGGCTCGGTCACGCCAGGCGGGGCCGCTGTGTGTCACCACCCGCGATTGGTCCGAGCTGACATCATCTGCGCGCAGCCCCCGGGCCGGGCGCGGCGGGATTGGGTAGCGCGCGGGGCGGGCGCGGGGCTAGTCACGTGGGGGGAGGAGGAGTGGGGGGAGCCAGGCGGGGGAGGAGGGGGGTGGCTGGCAGCGGAGCTTTGAATAGGGAAGTTTTGCAGGGGTTACGTTTGCAGTCAGTCCGGTGTTTGCAAATATTGTGTGGGCTCCGCGCGCTGCGGGCTGCGGGAGGGTCCGGACCGGGCGTCTGATTGCCGTGCCATTGAGTTTGCATGAAACTTTCACCTGCGCTCGCGGGGAGAGTTTCGGCTCCGACTCCAGACCGCACACCTCCCTGTTTTCCCGACAGCGGGGACTGTCTTTTCCAAACCGACATGGATGTGCTCCCAATGTGCAGCATCTTCCAGGAACTCCAGATTGTGCACGAAACGGGCTACTTCTCGGCTCTGCCGTCCCTGGAGGAATATTGGCAACAGGTAAATAGAGATTTTCACGTGCCCGGTGCGCCGAGGAGGGAGTGCGCGGAGGCGCAGGCAAGATGGTGTGTGCTTGGAAGTGCATCTTTTTATGATTATTATTATTGTTAGTGTAAATTTTTTTAAATTAAAATAATTATCTTAAAATGTCCTTCTGCTGCCTCCGGTGTGGAAGGCGCTCTAAAATGGGCCTTGTCCAGCGTGGAGCAGAGTTGTCATTTGAGTAGAGCGGAGCCGCGCTTCGTTGTTCCCAGTGTTTTTGCCGTTCCGGAGCTTCTGAACAGCATCCACCCGAGGGGAAACCCAAACTCCTCGGCCTCATCCCGGCCCGAGCCCTTGGCACAAGTTTGGGGCTTGTACCAGGTCCAAACTCCACAGCTGGACCTTGTCATATGAACGAACTTGTCTTGACTGCCAAGGGATTTTTTTTTTTTTTGGAAAGGGATTTTGTTTTTGTTTTGCTTTATAGTGTTTGTACATACAGTTTTTTAAATCTAAAATTTTGCCAGCGAAACGTAGACCAGGTTTTTTCCCCCTCCCTCTAGGCTATTTTCAGTTTCTTTTCCCTCCTTGGATTTCTTAACATTTGCCTAGGTCTGCCTTATTTTTCTTACCTGCTTCTCTTGTTTACCAGGGGAAGAGGGGGGGTGCTGTTTGCACACCAGTGACTTGTCAGTCATATGACAATGAGCCCGTCCTAGTTGCTTCAAGTCTTAGTTTGGGAAGAGCCTCGGTTTCCGGCATTTTGGTAGATGGGAAATTTGGGCATGGGAAATTGGAGAAACTTAATATTTTCCCGTTCTGATTCTTAGGATTGCTTGAGGGATGAGAGCCTTTAACACTTGACCCATTGTTTTTAAAAAGATAGAAAGAGGGTTTGGTGTTGCCTCTCTGCCCTGCTGTGCTGTTTGTTTTTTGTCACGAAGTGAATTAGCAGATCAAATGTATTCTGTGGATTTCAAAGCCTAGAAAGCTTTGAAGAAGGATGAAATGCAAAGCTTTGCACCCTTCTCATGCCTGCTTAATTGTTCCCGATCCTCTCCTGCCTCCTTTTCCCTTGTCCCCCTCCCCCCTTTTTCCTCCTCAAAGAAGCTGCTCCCTAGGACGTGATTGAAATTGATCTAAGTAGTTTCCTTCGGGCATTTGGGATTTGGGCAACAAGCCAGACTTGGCTCCTGGTGGCCTTCAGAGGCTTTTAAACTCTCAGAGAGCTTCCTTCAGGTCTCTGGTGCTCATCAGCATAATGGAGATTTTAAATTGGCTAGATTATTAAAGTTTAACAAGATCTCAATAAATGTGCTTTTCTTTTTCTTTGGAACAACAATAAAATGTATCGCCGCCTCTCTTCAGAACACCATAGTATGCATTGCAACTCAGACACCTAATTTTAGGGGGAAAGAGAAAGAGAGAACAATGCCCCCCCCCACTCCCGGCTTGCTCATGCTTGCTGCATGAAGAGTCTTCGGGGAGGGGGAAGAATGTACATATTATCATGACAGGAGGCATATCGCTAACTAAGCTGGAGCCTTTGAGTAGCCTGTGCTCAGGATGGCCCGTGTCCCCAAAATGATTTGTTGTAAAGAGCAGTTTGGTGTCAAAATTTAAATCTGTATAGACTTGCCAGTAGCACAGACAACCCTATATGGCCATGCAGGCAAACTAGTGAAAATCAGGGCAGACATAATTTAATCCTAAAATGTTTCCTACCATTTTTCTTTTCCAGTGGCTAGAAAGTTTGAAATGGTGGGGAGAGGGGATGCTGATCTCGGCAGTTGTAGCTTCTTGAAAGGTTGGTTGTGGGGCTGGGGAGGGGCACCCTGTCCATGACACACTGCATGTATATTTGAACCGGGCCCTTATTTGGCTGCTGGTCAGAATTTCAAAAGGAAGTCTCCTTTGGCATTGCGTGAAAGAAATAGGAGTGATGACTCATACAGTTGTACTCTTGGCCAGTAGATAAAGTTCTTGTTCATTGTGGGACTCCCAGCAGGGCTGTGGAGTAATTTCCCCCTTGCATCCTTTACAATAGCAGATGGCCATTCTGGAATTATTCCTCCACTCCTGTTGCTGAAGTCTCTTGTTTCCCTCTGACCACTGTAGAAGTAATTAAAGTTTTGTGGAATACATGGCCCTGCATTTGGGAATGGCATTCTTTGAAAACATACTAGGTCTCTGCTACACAGGAAATGGGTGGTTTCTCTGCAACTCCATTGATGTCCCTGAATGCAGACAGCTAGTTGCTGTCTCCTTTCTTGAGTGTGGCCCTGTGTTGTCAGCTGTGTCCCTAAGGGGGTCCATCAGAACATCCTGTGTACTGTGCAGTCTTTTCTGTCTTGTGTGGATACTTGTGGCGTGTGAACGGTGGATGGCTGGGGCTTTCCTTAGCACACATGGTTCTTGAGAATGTCAAGAGAATCTGGTTAAACCTGTTGGGGGGGTATGTGTGGCTGATTTTCTTTGTGTGGTTTACTGGGAGACTCATTAGAAATGTCAACACTTGTAACTATAACAACAAAACAGGCTTAGTGATCATCACTCCTGTGGCCGTTGGTCCAGCACTGGGGAAGCCTAGAGAGGTTTTACCCTCTGCATTTCCTTCTGATTGTTGCCATTCCTAGAAATGAATTTCCTCTAACTCTCATAAGGTCACAGATTCTGATTACAGAAGGTGTTCTGCTCATAGTGAGTGACACTGCCACAGTTTACCTGTCCTTTGTTCTTGCATGTTTTGCAAATGTGCTTTTGGTTCCAGTCTTGGTAGCCTTATCAATCACGTGCCTTTTTTCCATTCATTTTGCACAGACCTGCCTGGAGTTGGAACGTTACCTCCAGAGTGAGCCCTGCTATGTTTCAGCCTCAGAAATCAAATTTGACAGCCAGGAAGATCTGTGGACCAAAATCATTCTGGCTCGGGAGAAAAAGGAGGAATCAGAACTGAAGATTTCTTCTAGCCCCCCGGAGGACACTCTGATCAGCCCCAGCTTCAGTTACAACTTAGAGACCAACAGCCTCAACTCAGATGTCAGCAGCGAATCATCTGACAGCTCAGAGGAACTTTCACCCACTACCAAGTTCACCTCTGACCCCATCAGCGAAGTCTTGGTCAATTCAGGAAATCTGAGCTCCTCTGTAACGTCCACGCCTCCTTCTTCTCCAGAACTGAGCAGAGAACCTTCTCAACTGTGGGGTTGTGTGCCTGGAGAGCTACCTTCACCAGGGAAGGTGCGCAGTGGGACTTCGGGGAAGCCGGGTGACAAGGGTAGTGGCGACGCCTCTCCAGACGGCAGGAGGAGGGTACATCGATGCCACTTTAACGGCTGCAGAAAAGTTTACACCAAAAGCTCCCACTTGAAAGCACACCAGCGTACTCACACAGGTCAGTCCCCTCATGGACCTGGGAGGTCGGCCGCTGTGGGGCGCCACTGAATTTCACCAGCCCTGGGAGGGAGCCAAGTCTCATCAAACAAATCCTCACTTCCTAAATTCTGGTCACCAAAGACTTGGGTCTCTTTGGAGTTCAGAGTATAATCTTACAGGATGGACAATGGAATTAGATTAAGCAAAACAAGAGGCTAGACGGTATTTTCCATGGACACCCAAACCTCCACCCACTCAGAAATCCAGTTGGTCAAGGTCCATGGTGCTCATTTACCAGTGTACGTGTTATGTTGGGTTGCTCCTCATTTTTTAAATGAAATTCCAGGAACAGGACAGAGGGTCCCTGGGCAACCATGGAGTGAATTAGTATTAATGGTGATGGTGTGAGGTCTGAGTGATACCCATGTGTTCTGGAAGCACCAGTATTGATCAGTGGTGTTTATTGAGAATATCTTTGTGTCATATAGCCTTTGTTTTCTGATACCCCTTAGCTCAGCAGTGACTTCTTAATGAAACCCCACAACTTAGATGAAAGGTCTCAAATACCTTGAGGATGTTTAGGGTCACTGGTGAAGAGTCACAGATAATTTTGAGCTGGGAATATTCTAGTGCTATGAATTCTTATCTTACCAACAGGAGAGCAAATTGCTGGGAGATGAAATCAGGGTCTTGAAAATCCAGCTTATTGACAGAGATAAGAAGGGGACATGAGGAATCTGTCCCAAATGGACTTTAGCTTTTTTTT